CAAGGTGAACGTAGTAACAAATCAAACTAATGCAGTCAGGCTAATACCTGGAGCGTCTCTATTATCTGACAACTCCCTAAATGAGGTTATTTGGTCTCCTGTAATGGCATTTGTCTTTTGTGAAGCCAGCTAGACAAAGCCCATCACTAAAGAGTGCTGGTGGAAACAATGGCTGTGTGTGCTGGTGGTCAACTTTAGAGTTAATCAGTGTTAATAGCCGCTTTCTTTCACCTCCTGCATCTTATCACACATCACACGAATAGCATAAATCCCCATTACTGAGCCCAACACACAGCATCAACCTGGGGATTATGTCAACTTCTAAGGGCAGGAAGCTATGCTAGTCCATTTATTTGATGTGGAACTCAAATCAAAGTATGACAAATGCTGACTTGTCTCCATTTCACAGAGTACCATTGGACTAAAAACACTGCCAAGCACCTTTGGCTAAATTTAATGTTCATTTTGACTCTCCTGTCAAAACCTAGATACTAAGTTTGAGGAAAAATTAAGCAAGATGAAAATGTAAATGAAGACCCAAGATAGAATTATCTTCCCCTCAAAACACACAGGCTCTAATCCTGTATCCTGCTAGGTTATCACTCCACAGCAGCCTAGCAGCTCTTGGTGGCCCCTACCACTCCTCCTTCCTCCTCTCCTCACCCATGCCCATTTTCTTCTCTGTTTTCTTCTTATTCCTACCCTATTCCTTTTCCCCTGATGCTTTGGTAAGCTTATTGGCATTAACAGGCATTATTGAGTCCCACAAATGAAACTCCAGGCTAAAAGGTTTGTTGTTTACTTTCTACCTAGTAGAGCATTACCAGCATTTTAAGATCTTCTTGTCTGTTCTCTTCCTCCAGATCTCTGAGGATGGACTAATGAATCATCTCCTTGATTTAGTATTTTATGACATGGTGATTTTTTTTTTAAAGATTTATATATTTATGCATACAATAACTGGAGTACAGACCAGAGGTGTGGGGAGGGGTGAGAGGATTCACCAGAAACAGAGTGGGGAACAGAACAGGCAGACTGACTGAAGTACACTGCTGAGGGGAGCAGCGGGCAAGACAGGAGAGGCCTGCTGTGCCATGTGGGTAGCTCCCTGACTGGGGATCGAACTCGTGCTGTAGTGGCTGTGGGTAATGTCTTAACCCCTTGTGCACCAGGGAGTATGTATATTTGAAGTTACCAATAGCCTGGGTGAGGGTGGGGGCCTTGGGATGAAAAGCCAGGGGAGATTACAGAGAGACAGTCCGAAGGGAAATTTGACAGGTTTTTTAAATGAAGTGTGAAAAGGAGAACACAGTGAATTAAAAGTGGTACAAGCCTTGGGACATTTTAAAATTTCTAAAGATGCAAGAAGTGGATCATGTTTAACCCAGCAACTTATTCACTCAGGTAGTTGACTTTACTTACCTGCTTTTGCTTCTGATGCTGTCATGAGAAATTTTCTTTCTTAGCAATTTTTCATTTATTGATTTCTCATTGTTTTAATTTGAAGTTTAACTTTTGGTATATTAATTGATAACTTGTATTTTCTTATCTGGCCAATCCTACTTCGTCTGTTCTTTCTTAGCAGTCTGTGGTAGGTTGAATACTTTTTGCAATTCTTTGTGTCCTGAATATTTTAAAATTATATATATGTCCATTAGCATGTACCATCCATTACAGAGGGCAGAAAATATTGATGTTAGGTTTGGTCATGAGATTTTCTTTAGCCAACGCAATGTGGTCAGAAATGATGCTGCACCACTTCCAGGGCAGAGCCTCCAGAGTCACTGTGTCTTCCCCTTGCCTGCTTGTACTTCTGCTGTAGCCAAGAGGAAAAGGTATCCTGAATAACTGCTGTTCTTTTACACTGGACTCCAAATTGAAAAACATGAAACAGACTTGAATCCAAATTGCAGTCTAGAGCTAAGTCCAGCTAAGCCTGCCTATATTCTTTCAATCCCCAGCCTCTAAGTGAGTTTCCAACCACTACATTTGTGGGGAGGGCTTAGGGAGCAGGTAAGACATCCTATGTTTGGTGGCTTACGTAATCAAACTCTCTTAAAAATTACAAGAATTCCTTAGAAATAATATATTATCTAAATATAAGTGATACTTTAGCTAAACAAAATTAATACCCTTGTCTATATAAATATAAGACTTTAAATTAAGTTTTTAACAACAATCACTAGGTTAAAGTTCTTTTGCCATCAGCAATTTGTAGAAGAAATCCAGTTGTATTCATTCGTTTAGAGATGCTAGTATTCCACATACAATAATTTTTATTTACACAAATCACACTAGTAGACTTAAAATATAGAATGTTGCATAAAAGAATCAGGCCTCCCCGGTGGCACAGAGGGTTGAGCGCCGTGCTATGAGGGTGTCTGCAGCCTCTGCAGCTCAGGTTCAATTCCCAGCCGGACAGGGAGAAACCCACATGGCACAGCAGACCTCTCCTGTCTCGCCTGATGCTCCTCTCAGCAGTGTCTTTGGTCCATCTGCCTGTTCTGCTCCCTGCTCTGTCTCTGGTGAATTCTCTCACCCCTCCATGCCTCTGACCTGTACCCCAGTTCTTGTATAAAATAAATAAATCTTAAAAAAAAAAAAGAATCAAGTTACAAAATATGTATTTTATGATATCATTTATGTAAGTGATGATGGATGTTTTTTCATGTACCTGGGGACATTTGCATGTGTTCTTTGGAGAAATGCCATTTAACTCTTCTATGCATTTTTATTTTTAGTTTTTTAAAGATTTGTTTATTGGGCCTCCCTGGTGGTGCAGGCAGTTGAGCGCAGCGCCGTAAAGCTGTCTGCAGCCTCTGTAGTGCTGGTTCGATCCCTGCTGGCCTCGGAGCAACCCACATGGCGAGCAGACCTCTCCTATCTCACCCACTGCTCCCCTCAGCAGTGTATTTTGTCAGTCTGCCTGTTCTGTTGCCCGCTCTGTCTCTGGTGAATCCTCTTACCCTCCTGCACATCTGGCCTGTACCCCGGTTCTTGTATAAATAAAATAAATCTTAAAAAATATGAAAAAAAAAAAGATTGATTTATTTATGCATACAAGACCTGGGGTGCAGGCCAGGTGTGGGGGTGAGAGAATTCACCAGAGACAGTAGGGAGCAGAACAGGCAGATCTACTGAAATACACTGCTGAAGGAGAAGCTGGCTAGATAGGAGAGGTCTGCTGCACAAAATGGGTTAGCTCCCTGGCCAGCAGTGGGTGGCCACCAACAGCCTGATGGCACTGTTTTTTAAAACCTGCACCACCAGGGAGGCCCTTTGTTTTTATTTTTTTAAGATATATTTATTTCGGGACTCCCTGGTGGCGCATGGAGTTAAGTCTCAGCACTATCAAGCTATCGACAGCCACTGCAACATGAGTTTGATCCCTGGCCAGGGAGCTAGCCCAGATGGCACAGCAGACCTCTCCTGTCTAGCCCACTGCTCTCCTCAGCAGTGTATTTCAGTCAATATGACTGTTCTGTTCCCCACTCTGTCTCTGGTGAATCTCTCACCCCCCCTACAACCTCTGGCCTACACCCCAGCACTTGTAAAATAAATAAATAAATCTTTTTAAAAATTTATTTATTTATTCAGGCAGATCTGCTGTTCCATGTGGGTCAGCACCCTGGCTGGGGATTGAACTT